GTGCACATATATTCCAGAACAGCCTTTGGAGTTGATCCTGCTGAAATGTATCTTAAAAGAGCTTTCAGTTCATCACCTAAATCAATCGCATCAATATCGCGCATGTCATCAGGTGTCAACACTGTCTCTAGTGCCCTGCATTGCTGGTGTAGGTCTTCTTCGGGTATAGTGAGGAGTTTTGGAATATCAGACAACATCCCAAATATACTGCTGTGTTCCTTGAGCCGCATGAAACTTTCTTCAACTGACTGTATTGCACAATCTAGCACACGGTTAAAGAATTCAACTTTTAATTGTTGTTTGGGGTCTCTTATGGGATTATCCCGTGCCTTGGAATCAAAATGTCTTCTTCTTCGGTGACTCTTGTATTCTTGAATGGGTGGGAAAATAGCTTCAGTGTGAAGTTCCTCTGCCAACTTCTGTGCACTCTTCAGAACATTTTGAAATCCCTCATCTGACCGGTAAGACCGTAGGTATGACTTTGCTTTATCCAGTTGTTCCATTGCTCCAGATATATCAAGGTCAGCACCTTGGAGTCTCTTGCTTACAACATTTATTTCAAATAGTATGTCATGCCACAACACTAAGACACACAGAAATTTGAAGTTGTGCATGTTTCTGGTGATTCCATTTCCCTCTGTCACTGTTCTCCCAGGAACAGTTCCTGTCATAGCATTATCCTCCATACTGGCAACTATGGCATAATCTCTATTCCCAATTTGGTGTTTGATAGGCTTTATCGCCTCCACTCGACTTTCCCATCATGTGGCACTCAGTGGTTTCAAGTATCAGGGGGTAGCCGTGTTAGTCTGTATCTACAAAAACAACAAGGAGTCTGGTGGCACCTTAAAGACTAACAGATTTATTTGGGCATAAGCTTTCGTGAGTTAAAACCTCACTTCTTCGGATGCATAGTGGTTTCAGTGTCAGAGAGGATGTTCCCAGATGTTGCTTCAAAATTTGCCATCGATGAGTTGATGCAGAGAAAAATACATAGATGCTTTGAATTACATTAAAAAATTCAGCAGCCTCACTAGAAGCTGATGCTGCATCACTGACCACCAAGTTCAATGAATGAGAACTGCACAGGACAAAAAAAGCTCAAGGATTTAGCCACTCACATCCTCACTGAGGCCGGAAAGCTCACCGTGAACATTTGTGTCTGTGGAGAGCTCCTTCCTGCTTAGATAGAAAAGCTTCCTTTGCTTTCTTTCTTTTTCTGAATGCTGCCCCAGAGGGGCGTTTTCTTCTTTCACTCATGACTGCTGTTCTGTGCCAGCTATAGTGGCTCTCCACACTCAATTGAAGGGGACAAATAATCAGACTGGTAGCAGGGCCTGAGTGAGGGAAGATATCAGCGTCTTAAGGGCCTAACTGGCTCCTACTACTCCTGTTCTCCTCAAGTGGGTTCAGGGAAGCAGCAGGAAACAGGAAGCTCCCTGAGAAGCTGGTGTGAATCAGTCCAGGCTCCTGGGGGTGCTAGACAGGGGTACATAAGAGACTCCTCCTCCTCTCTCTCCTTGCAGCTCCTGCTGCTTTCTGTTATTCCCTCTCACCTTTTCTCCTGCATGCCTGTTATGTTTCTTGTGCCCTCCTTCCTCCAGCACAGCACTCCACCATCTCTGTGCATCTAGACAGGGCCAGCTCCAGGCACCAGCAAAGGAATCAGGTGCCTGGGGCGGCCAATAGAAAGGGGCGGCACTCCGTCAGTTATTGGGGCGGCACGTCCACGTCTTCGGCGGCAATGGTCCTTCACTCCCTCTCGTCGTCTTCGGCGGCAATGGTCCTTCACTCCCTCTCATCGTCTTCAGCAGCAGTTCAATCGGGTTCTTCTTTTTTTTTTTCCCCTTCGCCGCTTGGGGCGGCAAAAAAGCTGGAGACGGCCCTGCATCTAGAGCAGAGAGAATACATATGCACCAGCAGCAGACACAATTTTCTACACTCTGGGTCCTAGTGGCGCCCCCCCACAGTCTGGCACCTGAGGCGGCTGCCTCAGTTTGCCTCATGGTAAGGCCAGCCCTGGCCCCAGGCCTCAATCCACTAGAGGTAGGTCAAAAGCTGATGAGATGTTTCCATTCCGCTTCCTTATCCAAAGGGAGTCTTTCCACTGACTTCAAGAGCTTTGGATCAGGCCCCATGTGCCCTCACTAGAGCTGGTCGCAAAATGGATTTTATGTCCCCCCCAAAATGTCGAGATTTTGAAATTTTTCACGAAACAAAATTCCCAATTGTTGTTTTTGTTTTGGGTCAATCTAAACATTTCATTTACGTTTCAACCCTTTTAAAAGATTGTAAAAAATTTCTTGTATGTAAAATAAAGTAAATGTCTAAACAAAAAAGTCAGTTTGAAATGAAACATCAAATCTTTTCATTCTGAACATGTCTAAACAATGTTTTCAATTTTTCCCCTCAATTTTTTTCATTCAATTTTTTTTGTCAAAATCTATATGATTTTGAGGAAGAAAATTTTTT